GAAATCCCATATATAAAAGATGTTAAAAATTAAATAGATAATAATAATTATAATAACATTGGACAAAATCCATGAACGAAAACGCATTGCGGGCGTACTATAAGGCGAAAGGGGAAGAAATTGTGGGAATAGCGTATAGGTCTCGGATACATTGCTTTTTTGCTGAGCTGGAGCCGTCTATCCCCGTCACGGAACAAAACCTGGCAGACCGAGTTCGGTACATCATGCGCTCGAAAATATTTGATGATGCCGAACTCGAAAGACTACGACGTGAGGTTATTCCGTCGTCGAATGAATCGGCTATGGCTGGAGATGCAGCTCCACATTCGACAGACCAGCATCCATACGTGAAAGCCGCCATGGATCTTCCAGTTGTGGTTGATTCGAACGACGATGAAATAGTCTCCCATGAACTAGAGCAAATGAGGAGTATATTGGAAGAGGCGATTTTGGAAACGCGCAGCACCCCTCTCGAAAATCGATCGCGACTTCCCCGCATACCACTAAGTAAGCGAAATCGGGCTGTCGTGAGGGTTCTTAACCCAATGCTGGTGACCTATTTGGAAGCCAGCCGGGACCTTTGCGAGACGGATTCGATTCTCTTTGGCGCCTCAGTGGCAGTTTGCCGTATTATTGGCGCCAAACTTCCCATGACTGGACGCGTTACTAAACAAAGTAGCGCCATCCCAGCCTGGAGAAAAAGACTTGAGGACCGTATCGCAAAGGCAAGGGTCCTTATCGGCAGACTGACAAGCTTCAGGTCGAATAATATTAGACCGAGGATTATGCGCACCGTTAGGATGACGTTTGCTGGGACAAATATCAGTTTGTCCCAGCCGGATATCACGCAGAAACTAACGGAGCGCATAGATGACCTGAAGCAAAAGATCGCTGCTTGGGGGAAGCGGATTCGACGATTTTCCGAGAGGTCAAGGCGGTTCAACCAGAATCGTCTCTTCCAGAGTGATCAGAAGAGGCTCTATAAATATTGGAGCAACCAAAGGTATGTGGAGCGGGCCAAGGACCGGATCAGGCTGACATTATCGCATTCTGGCGTGGCCTGTGGTCAGAGCCCGTAAACCACAGCGAGGGCCCTTGGATGGAAGTTGTGGCGAGCCAGGGTGCGAGTGTTACGCCTATGGACCCCATCACAATAATGCCAGAAGACGTGGCTGAGGCGGTCCGTAGGGTCCCGAACTGGAAAAGTCCGGGGCTCGACGGGCTGCATCATAACTAGCTGAAGGGGTTAATAGTGTGTCACGATGTGCTCGCCCGACAGTTTCAAGAGGCTCTCGACCAGAAGTCACTCCCGAGCCTCTTCACTACTGGGATCACTCACTTGGTTCCTAAAGATCAGGATACCACAGACCCGAGCAAATACCGCCCCATCACGGGTCTACCCACCATATATAAGACACTGACATCCATTTTGAGCGCGAGAATCACTCGTCACCTGGAGCTAAACCAGGTGATGTCACGCGCTCAAAATGGACGTCGGGGCGGTGGTCGTAGAACTAAGGAACAACTCCTCATTGACGCGGTCATAGGCAAAGTGGTGAAACGCAACCGTCGGAACTTCTCTGCCGCCTGGACGCCAGAAAGGCGTTCGACTCGGTGCCACATACATGCCTAAAGAGGGTCCTCGAGCTGTACAAGATTGACTGTACAGTGAGAGACCTCCTCGAGCAGTGTATGGGGCAGTGGAGTACGATCCTTTGTCATCTGGGTGAGCGGATGACGGCTGCGGAGAACCACATAAGGATAAGAAGGGGTATCTTCCAGGGCGATTGTCTGAGTCCAATCTGGTTCTGCCTCTCTATTAACCCTCTCAGTACCTTACTGGAGGGCTCCGGGAGGGGATTTCAGCTACGGAAAGGAGGAACAAAATGTCCCACCTTTTCTATATGGATGACCTCAAGTTATTCACCTCAAGTCGCTCCCATCTTATGGAACTGCTAAGCATCACTTGTGTATTTAGCAGTTCCATTGGAATGGAGCTGGGGACGGATAAGTGTGCGGTCCTCCATGTTGAAAGGGGAAGGGTTGCTAACTCTGAGAGCATAGACTTGTCTATGCCCGTCAACTTAAGGACCCTTTCCGAGGCTGAAACATACCGATACCTGGGTATGTCACAGAACATCGGTATCGATGAGGCTGGTATGAAACAGTCAGTTTGCGACGTGTTTTATGCACGCTTGACCAAAGTGCTTAACATTCTTTTGTCCGGTGTGAATAAGTCACACGCATATAATTGCTGGGTCATGCCTGTCCTCATGTATACCTTTGGCATACTCAGGTGGACTCAGACTGAGCTTAACGCCCTGGATAGAAAAGTCCGCACTACCATGACGTCCCATAGGATGCATCATCCGAGATCGTCGGTAATAAGGCTGTACTTGCCGCGAAAGTATGGTGGGCGTGGCTTTCTGAGCGCGCTCACCATGCATAATCGCGAAGTGTGCAGTCTCCGTCAGTACTTCTTGGCGAGATCGGATGATCCATTCTATAATGACGTCATTTCTAGTGACAAAGGGCTTACCCCTCTATCCTTAGCCAACGAGCAATGGCAGGACCCAGCAGTGCTTAGCATTTCCGACCGGGAGACCGTATGGAAGGAGAAAGAGCTCCACGGGAGGTACTACAAGGCTCTACATGAGCCCTTCGTAGATACAGTCGCCTCCCTCAACTGGCTACGTTTCGGTGACCTCTTCGGGGAAACCGAGGGTTTTGTCTGTGCAATACAGGATCAGGTTATTAAGACCAACAACTATCGGAGATACATCCTAAAGGATGGCACCATCGACATCTGTCGAGCTTGTCGCCATCCCGGGGAGTCACTTAGGCATGTCATCTCCGGTTGTTCGGCGCTTTCTAACTCTGAGTACTTGCACAGGCACAACCTAGTAGCCAGAATTCTACACCAGGAGCTCGCTCTGAAATACGGTTTCGTGGATCGGAAGTTGCCGTATTACAAGTACTTGCCGAAAGCCGTGCTCGAAAATGATCGCGCCAGGCTCTATTGGGACCGGCCCATCATCACAGACAGGACTATTCTTGCGAATAAGCCTGATATTGTGCTGATGGACCGGGCACAGTCAAGGATATTTTTGGTCGATATTACCATCCCGTATGACGAGAAACTCGTGAGAGCCGAAACAGATAAGCAATCAAAATATCTGGACCTGGCTCACGAGGTGACCGACATGTGAGGTGGTCTGCCGACCGAAATTATTCCTGTAGTTGTCTCTGCGAATGGGCTAATCAGAGTTAGCCTCTCTGGTCATCTGAGGCGACTGGGACTCCGTGACGGACCGCTCCGGGCTTAAATGCAGAAGGCGGTGCTCCTTGATACTGCCCGCATCGTCGGCCGATTTCTTTCCCTTTCACCCTAACCCTTGGCCGTTTGGTCTCCCCTGCCGAGGGCTTCCATCTGGTTGGGCTTTTATTTATTTATGTATTTTCGTATTTATTTTATTGATATTTATGTATATTTGTCTTTTCATTTTCGTTTATAATTATATATTTATACATCCCAACCAGATGAGAAAACTATATAGATAACCCAGATAATAATAATCGCTAATGAACTGAGTCGCTAATGAACTGAGTCAACCACATGTCGACGCAAATGAACTGAGTCAACCACATGTCGACATTGAAGCGTCGAACAACTGGCTCAGACACGGTGAGATCTTTGCTGAAACTGAGGGATTCATGGTGGCGATTCAGGATCAGGTTTTGCCTACGAAAAATTATCTTAAGTACATTGTCAAGACAGGTATCGAAGATGACCAGTGCCGACGGTGTCATCAAAAGCCAGAGACCATCCAGCACATAACTGGCGGCTGCCAGGCTCTTGCTGGAACCGAGTACACCCAGCGCCATGACAACGTGGCAAAAATTGTGTACCAAGATCTGGCAGTAAAATACGGTCTCCTTAAGGAGACAGAACCCTACTGGAAATGGAGACGGTACTCGAGAATGACTATGCCCAACTTTATTGGGATAGGTCAGTTTTAACTGACCGGACCGTTGAACATAATTGACCGGATATAATATTAGTAGAAAAGGAGGAGAAGCGGACGTGGTTGTTGGATATTGGCATTTCAAACTCGCATAATGTGCAGAAGTACAGCACTGAAAAGTTGACTAAGTACCAGCGGTTAGCTGATGAAATCCGACAGTTAAGGCGACAGCAGCAGGTAATTATCGTCCCGCTGATTCTCTCTACCCCGGGAGTTGTTCCTAAATTCCTTACTGACAATTTAGCTAAGCTGGGCATTTCAGTGAGGGTGAGGAACAAAATTCAAAAAGCCGTAATTTTGGATACGACAGCGATAGTACGTTGCCACCTCACAATTTAAACAAAAGAGCGGCATCTTGCGATCAGCCGATGCCGCATCTTAAAACCCTAAAAGGAGCGTTAATGGATAACCCATAATAATAATAATAATAATATAATAAAATACAATGGCGTAGGGAATTGACGACCCCATCGCCCGCTGACGTAACAGTTAAGTGACAAAACTGCTACGTCAACGCAGTCAGTCAGCGCCTTGCGAGAGGTGTGAGCGCCGTGCCGCGGCAGAATTTAGGGTGCAGAGGCCCGTTTGTGCTTATGGCTACACACGAAACGGTGCCGGGCCTGGGCGTCTCCCGTTAATGGACGCCCAAATAATGGATGATGGATAAAAAGATAGTGCGCAAAGGGCCGCTGCCTGGGGGGTCGCCGGGGCGCGTCTGGAGCTGGCGCTGGACGCGGCAGCATGCGGGCCGCCAGCCGAGCGCGAGGAGCTGCACGGTCATCTACCAGCCCTCCGCATCCATCATCCCCACCAGAAGGCTTGGTGTCGGCTGGGTCTTCTCGGACTCAGCAAGCGGCACCCGCCGCTGGTGGAGCACGTCGCATGCGTTGGTCACAAGAAATGAATGCAAACGCACTGCGGGCGTACTTTAGGGCAAAAGGGGAAGAAACTGGATGTTTGGCGTATCGGGCTAGGATGCATCGTCTTTTTGCTGAGCTGGAGCCATCTTTAATCGTCACAGAGCAAAACCTGGCAGACCGAGTTCGGTATATCTTGCGCTCAAATATATTTGATGTCGCCGAACTCGAACGGCTACGACGTGAGGCTGTTCCCTCGTCGGATGAGAATGCTACGGCTGAGGATGCGGCGCCACAAATGGTAGAGCAACCCGCAAACGTGGATGCCGCCGTGAATACCCCAGTTGTGGTTGATTCAAACGATGATGGAACAGTCGCCCAGGAACTGGAATTAGAGCATATGAGGAGTATATTGGAAGAGGCGATTGTGGAAACGCGCAGTACGCCTCTCGAAAATCGACCGCGACTTCCCCGCATAGCCCTAAGCAAGCGGAATCGGGCTGTCGTGAGGGCTCTGAACCCAATGCTGGTTACCTATTTGGAAGCCAGCCGGGACCTTTGCGAGACGGACTCAATTCTTTTTGGCGCCGCGCTGGCAGTCTGCCGTATCATAGGCGCCAAGGTTTCCACGGCTGGACGCGCTACTGGCCATAGTAGCGCTATCCCAGCATGGAGAAGAAGAATTGAGGAACGTATCGCAAAGGCTAGAGCTCTCATCGGCAGACTGATATGCTTCAGATCAGGCAACAACAGGCCAAGAATTGTGCGCACCGTCAGGATGGCGTTTGCTGGGACAAATGTCAGTTTGTCCCAGCCGGATATAACGCAAAAACTGACGGAGCGCATAGATGATCTGAAGCAGAGAATCGCTGCTTGGGGAAAGCGGATTCGGCGATATACCGAGAGGTCGACACGGTTCAACCAGAATCGTCTCTTCCAGAGTGATCAGAAGAGGCTCTATGAATCATTGGAGCGACCAATGGTAAGTGGAACGGGTCCAGCACCGAATCAGGCCGACACTGTAGCATTCTGGCGCGGCCTGTGGTCAGAGCCCGTAAACCACAGCGAGGGCCCTTGGACGGAAGTTGTGGCGAGTCAGTGTGCGGGTATTACGCCCATGGACCCCGTCATCATAACGCCGGATGACGTAGCTGAGGCGGTTCGTAGGGCCCCGAACTGGAAAAGTCCGGGGCTTGACGGGCTGCATCACTACTGGCTGAAGGGGTTCATGGTGTGTCACTCTGTGCTCGCCCGACAGTTTCAAGAGGCTCTCAACCAGAAGTCGCTCCCAAGCCTCTTCACTACTGGGATCACTCATTTAGTTCCTAAAGACCAGGGTACCACAGACCCGAGCAAATACCGCCCCATCACGTGTCTACCGACCATATACAAGACACTAACATCCATTTTGAGCGCGAGAATCACTTGTCACCTGGACTCAAATCAGGTGATGTCGCGCGCTCAAAATGGATGTCGGGGCGGTGGTCGTGGAACCAAGGAACCACTCCTCATTGACGCGGTCATTGGCAAAGTGGTGAAACGCAACCGTCGGAACTTCTCCGCCGCCGGATAGACTACAGAAAGGCATTCGACTCGGTGCCCCATACATGGCTAAAGAGAGTCCTCGAGCTGTACAAGATAGACTGTACAGTTAGAGACTTCCTCGAGCAGTGTATGGGGCAGTGGAGTACGATCCTTTGTCACCTAGGCGAGCGGATGATGGCTGCGGAGAACCACATAAGGATAAGAAGGGGCATCTTCCAGGGCGATTGTCTGAGTCCAATCTGGTTCTGCCTCTCTCTGAACCCTCTCAGTACCTTACTGGAGGGCTCCGGGAGGGGATTTCAGCTACGGAAAGGAGGGACAAAAGTGACCCACCTTTTCTATATGGATGACCTCAAGTTATTCGCCTCCAGTCGCTCCCATCTTATGGAATTGTTAAACATCACTTGTGAATTTAGCAATTCTATTGGAATGGAGCTGGGAACGGATAAGTGTGCGGTCCTCCATGTTGAAAGGGGACGGGTTGCTAACTCTGAGGGCGTAGACTTATCTATGCCCGTCAACTTAAGGACCCTTTCCGAGGCTGAAACATACCGATACCTGGGTATGTCACAAAACATCGGTATCGATGAGACTGGTATGAAACAGTCAGTTTGCGACGTGTTTTATGCACGCTTGACCAAAGTGCTTAACAGCCTTTTGTCCGGTGTGAATAAGGCACACGCATATAACGGCTGGGTCATGCCTGTCCTCATGTATACCTTTGGCATACTCAGGTGGACTCAGACTGAACTTAACGCCCTGGATAGAAAAGTCCGCACTACAATGACGTCCCATAGGATGCATCATCCGAGATCGTCGGTAATGAGGCTGTACTTGCCGCGGAAGCATGGTGGTCGTGGCTTCTTGAGCGCGCTCACCATGCATAATCGCGAAGTGTGCAGCCTCCGTGATTACTTCCTGGCGAGATCGGATGATCCATTCTATAAGGACGTCATTTCTTGTGATAAAGGACTTACCCCTCTATCCTTAGCCAACGAGCAATGGCAAGACCCGGCAGTGCAGAGCATTTCCGACCGGGAGACCGTATGGAAGGAGAAGGAGCTCCACGGGAGGTTCTACAAGGCTCTACATGAGCCTTTCGTAGACACAGTAGCCTCCCTCCACTGGCTACGCTTTGGTGATCTCTTCGGGGAAACCGAGGGTTTTGTCTGTGCAATACAGGATCAGGTTATTAAGACCAACAACTATCGGAGATACATCCTAAAGGATGGCACCGTCGACATCTGTCGAGCTTGTCGCCATCCCGGTGAGTCACTTAGGCATGTTATCTCCGGTTGTTCGGCGCTTTCTAACTCTGAGTACTTGCACAGGCACAACCTAGTAGCCAGAATTCTACACCAGGAGCTCGCTCTGAAATACGGTCTCGTGGATCGGAAATTGCCGTATTACAAGTACTTGCCGGAAGCCGTGCTCGAAAATGATCGCGCCAGGCTCTATTGGGACCGTGCCATCATCACAGACAGGACTATTCTTGCGAATAAGCCTGATATTGTGCTGATGGACCGGGCACAGTCAAGGATATTTTTGGTCGACATTACCATTCCGTATGACGAGAACCTCGTGAAAGCCGAAACAGACAAGCAAACAAAATATCTGGACCTGGCTCACGAGGTGACCGACATGTGGGGTGGTCTGCCGACCGAAATTATTCCTGTAGTCGTCTCTGCAAACGGGCTAATCCCAGTCAGCCTCTCGGGTCATCTGAGGCGGCTGGGACTACGTGGCGGACCGCTCCAGGTTCAAATGCAGAAGGCGGTGCTCCTCGATACCGCCCGCATCGTCCGCCGGTTTCTTTCCCTTTCCCCCTAACCCTCGGCCGTTTGGTCTCCCCTGCCGAGGGCCTCCATCTGGTTGGGCTTTTATTTATTTATGTACTTTTATATTTATTTTATGTTATTGATATTTATGTATATTTGTCTTTTCATTTTCATTTATAATTATATATTTATAGCACCCAACCAGATGAGAAAACTATATAGATACCCCAAAATATAAATAATAATAATAATACGTAGCTGAGGCGGTCCGTAGAGCCCCGAACTGGAAAAGTCCGGGACTCGACGGACTGCATCACTACTGGCTGAAGGGGTTATGGTGTGTCACGCTGTGCTCGCCCGTCAGTTTCAAGAGGCTCTCAACCAGAAGTCGCTCCCTAGCCTCTTCACTACTGGGATCACTATTTGGTTCCTAAAGACCAGGTTACCACAGACCCGAGCAAATACCGCCCCATTACGTGTCTACCCACCATATATAAGACACTGACATCCATTTTGAGCGCGAGAATCACTCGTCACCTGGAGCTAAATCAGGTGATGTCACGCGCTCAAAATGGATGTCGGGGCGGTGGTCGTGGAACCAACGAACACCTCCTCATTGCCGCGGTCATTGGCAAAGTGGTGAAACGCAACCGTCGGAACTTCTCCGCCGCCTGGATAGACTACAGAAAGGCATTCGACTCGGTGCCCCATACATGGCTAAAGAGAGTCCTCGAGCTGTACAAGATAGACTGTACAGTGAGAGACTTCCTCGAGCAGTGTATGGGGCAGTGGAGTACGATCCTTTGTCATCTGGGTGAGCGGATGATGGCTGCGGAGAACCACATAAGGATAAGAAGGGGTATCTTCCAGGGCGACTGTCTGAGTCCAATCTGGTTCTGCCTCTCCCTGAACCCTCTCAGTACCTTACTGGAGGGATCCGGGAGAGGATTTCAGCTACGGAAAGGAGGGGCAAAAGTGACCCACCTTTTTCTATATGGATGACCTCAAGTTATTCGCCTCCAGTCGCTCCCAACTTATGGAATTGCTAAACATCACTTGTGAATTTAGCAATTCCATTGGAATGGAGCTGGGGACGGATAAGTGTGCGGTCCTCCATGTTGAAAGGGGAAGGGTTGCTAACTCTGAGGGCATAGATTTATCTATGCCCGTCAACTTAAGGACCCTTTCCGAGGCTGAAACATACCGATACCTGGGTATGTCACAGAACATCGGTATCGATGAGGCTGGTATGAAACAGTCAGTTTGCGACGTGTTTTATGCACGCTTGACCAAAGTGCTTAATAGCCTTTTGTCCGGTGTGAATAAGACACACGCATATAACGGTTGGGTCATACCTGTCCTTATGTATACCTTTGGCATACTCAGGTGGAGTCAGACTGAACTTAACGCCCTGGATAGAAAAGTCCGCACTACCATGACGTCCCATAGAATGCATCATCCGAGATCGTCGGTAATGAGGCTGTACTTGCCGCGAAAGCATGGTGGGCGTGGCTTTCTGAGCGCGCTCACCATGCATAATCGTGAAGTGTGCAGCCTCCGTCATTACTTCCTGGCGAGATCGGATGATCCATTCTATAATGACGTCATTTCTAGTGATAAAGGGCTTACCCCTCTATCCTTAGCCAACGAGCAATGGCAGGACCCAGCAGTGCTTAGCATTTCCGACCGGGAGGCCGTATGGAAGGAGAAAGAGCTCCACGGGAGGTACTACAGGGCTCTACATGAGCCCTTCGTAGACACAGTCGCCTCCCTCAACTGGCTGCGTTTCGGTGACCTCTTCGGGGAAACCGAGGGTTTTGTCTGTGCAATACAGGATCAGGTTATTAAGACCAACAACTATCGGAGATACATCCTAAAGGATGGCACCGTCGACGTCTGTCGAGCTTGTCGCCATCCCGGTGAGTCACTTAGGCATGTCATCTCCGGTTGTTCGGCGCTTTCTAACTCTGAGTACTTGCACAGGCACAACCTAGTAGCCAGAATTCTACACCAGGAGCTCGCTCTGAAATACGGTCTCGTGGACCGGAAATTGCCGTATTACAAGTACTTGCCGGAAGCCGTGCTCGAAAATGACCGCGCCAGGCTCTACTGGGGACCGGGCCATCATCACAGACAGGACTATTCTTGCGAATAAGCCTGATATTGTGCTGATGGACCGGGCACAGTCAAGGATATTTTTGGTCGATATTACCGTCCCGTATGACGAGAACCTCGTGAAAGCCGAAACAGATAAGCAATCAAAGTATCTGGACCTGGCTCACGAGGTGACCGACATGTGGGGTGGTGTGCCGACCGAAATTATTCCTGTAGTCGTCTCTGCGAATGGGCTAATCCCAGTTAGCCACTCTGATCATCTGAGGCGACTGGGACTCCGTGACGGACCGCTCCGGGCTCAAATGCAGAAGGCGGTGCTCCTTTATACTGCCCGCATCGTCCGCCGGTTTCTTTCCCTTTCCCCCTAACCCTTGGCCGTTTGGTCTCCCCTGCCGAGGGCTTCCATCTGGTTGGGCTTTTATTTATTTATGTATTTTTGTATTTATTTTATTTTATTGATATTTATGTATATTTATCTTTTCATTTTCATTTATAATTATATATTTATACATCCCAACCAGATGAGAAAACTATATAGATACCCCACATAATAATAATAATAACAAAAAGGCGTAGGGAAGTGACGACCCCATCGCTCGCTGACGTAACGGTTATGTGAAAAAAACCGCTACGTCAGCGCAGTCAGTCAGCACCTTGCCAAGAGGTGTTAGTACCGTGCCTCGGAAAAAATTGAAGGTGCAAAGGCCCACTTGTGCACATGGCCTCACCATGAAACGGCGCCGGGTCTGGGCGTCTCCCGCTAAATGACGCCCACCACTATGGATGATGGAATACGGAAGAACGCGCAAAGGGCCGCTGCCTGGAGGTCGCCAGGGCGCGTCTGGAACTGGCGCTGGACGCGACAGCATGCGAAACGCTAGCCGAGCGCGAGGTGCTGCACGACCATCCAGCAGCCCCTCGCATCCATCATCCCCACCAGCTGGCTTGGTGTCGGCAGGGTCTTCGCGTGCCCAGCAATCGGCACCCACCTCTGGTGGAGTACGCCGCATGCGTTGGAAAACCCAGATGAACAGCAACGCATTGCGGGCGTATTTTAGGTCGAAATGGGGAGAAACTGGAGGTTTTATGTGTCGGGCAAGGATGCATCGACTTTTTGCTGAGCTGGAGCCATCTGTAACCGTCACCGAGCAAAACCTGGCAGACCGAGTTCGGTATATCTTGCGCTCAAATACATTTGATGTTACCGAACTCGAACGGCTACGACGTGAGGCTGTTCCTTCATCGGGTGAAAATGCTGTGGCTGAGGATGCGGCACCACAACTTGCTGAGCAAACGGCAAATGTAGATGCCGCCGTGAACACGCCAGTTGTGGTTGATTCAGACGATGATGGAACAGTCGCCCAGGAACTGGAACTAGAGCAAATGAGGAGTACATTGGAAGAGGCGATTGTGGAAACGCGCAGTACGCCTCTCGAAAATCGACCGCGACTTCCCCGCTTAGCCCTAAGCAAGCGGAATCGAGCTGTCGTGAGGGCTCTGAACCCAATGCTGGTTACCTACTTGGAAGCCAGCCGGGACCTTTGCGAGACGGACTCAATTCTTTTTGGGGCCGCACTGGCAGTCTGCCGTATTATAGGCGCCAAACTTTCCACGGCTGGACGCACTACTGGACAAAGTAGTGCTATCCCAGCCTGGAGAATAAGAATTGAAAAACGTATCGCAAAGGCTAGGGCCCTCATCGGCAGACTATGCTTCAGGTCAGGCAATACCAGGCCAAGGATTGTGCGCACCGTCAGGATGGCGTTTTCTGGGAAAAATGTTACTTTGTCCCAGCCGGATATAATGCAAAAACTGACGGAGCGCATAGACGACCTGAAGCAAAGAATCGCTACTTGGAGGAAGCGGATTCGGCGATATACCGAGAGGTTGACACGGTTCAACCAGAATCGTCTCTTCAAGAGTGATCAGAAGAGGCTCTATAAATCATTGGAGCGACCTTGTAAGTGGAACGGGCGCAGCACCAAATCAGGCCGACACGGTCGCATTCTGGCGCAGCCTGTGGTCAGAGCCCGTAAACCACAACGAGGGCCCTTGGACGAAAGTTGTGGCGAGGCAGTGTGCGGGTATTATGCCCATGAACCCCGTCATCATAACGCCGGATGACGTAGCTGAGGCGGTCCGTAGGGCCCCGAACTGGAAAAGTCCGGGGCTTGACGGGCTGCATCACTACTGGCTGAAGGGGTTCATGGTGTGTCACGCTGTGCTCGCCCGACAGTTTCAAGAGGCTCTCAACCAGAAGTCGCTCCCAAGCCTCTTCACTACTGGGATCACTCATTTTGTTCCTAAAGATCAGGATGCCACAGACTCGAGCAAATACCGCCCCATCACGTGTCTACCGACCATATACAAGACACTAACATCCATTTTGAGCACGAGAATCGCTCGTCACCTGGACTCTAATCAGATGATGTCGCGCGCTCAAAATGGATGTCGGGGCGGCGGTCGTGGAACCAAGGAACCACTCCTCATTGACGCGGTCATTGGCAAAGTGGTGAAACAAACCGTCGGAACTTCTTTGCCGCCTGGATAGATTACAGAAAGGTATTTGACTCGGTGCCCCATACATGGCTAAAGAGGGTCCTCGAGCTGTACAAGATTGACTGTACAGTTCGAGATTTCCTCGAGCAGTGTATGGGGCAGTGGAGTACGATCCTCTGTCATCTAGGCGAGCGGATGACGGCTGCAGAAAGCCGCATAAGGATAAGAAGGGGTATATTCCAGGGCGACTGTCTGAGTCCAATCTGGTTCTGCCTCTCTTTAAACCCTCTCAGTACTTTACTGGAGGGCTCCGGGAGGGTATTTCAGCTTCGGAAAGGAGGTGCAAAAGTAACCCACCTTTTCTATATGGATGACCTCAAATTATTCGCCTCCAGTCGCTTCCATCTTATGGAATTGCTAAACATCACTTGTGAATTTAGCAATTCTATTAGAATGGAGCTGGGGACGGATAAGTGTGCGGTCCTCCATGTTGAAAGGGGAAGGGTTGCTAACTCTGAGGGCATAGACTTATCTATGCACGTCAACTTAAGGGACCTTTCCGAGGCTGAAACATACCGATACCTGGGTATGTCACAGAACATCGGTATCGATGAGGCTGGTATGAAACAGTCAGTTTGCGACGTGTTTTATGCACGCTTGACCAAAGTGCTTAACAGCCTTTTTGTCCGGTTTGAATAAGACACATGCATATAACGGTTGGGTCATGCCTGTCCTCATGTATACCTTTGGCATACTTAGGTGGAATCAGACTTAACTTAACGCCCTGGATAGAAAAGTCCGCACTACAATGATGTCCCAT